ACAATAATTGTGAGGTATTTATACTATGAAACCCACGAGTACAACCTTCGAGGTTTGCATGTTACTGTTATGATTACCATTTAATGGATGCGATGGCAAGGTGCAGAATTGCCAGGTGAGTCCCACGTTAGCCAGTTGCTTTTCTACCATAACTGACACATGTCCTTTCAGTATATAATGTTTTGTCAGAGTCTGGCCTTCGAAGGGATCTGATCGGTCTTCTTATGGTGCGTTATCCGAGTACTGCGTTTGGTTTAGTTGACCTTCGTGTCGTCCTTTCTCACAGTCCGACCTCTGATCAAAGAGGTCGGATGTCTTGGTCTAGATTTCATTTTTGTCCAAGCTGTTGGATGAGACTCTAAAGTCCGATTAATCTCGTCATAGTTTTTTATAGGAGTTGTCATTAAGTGATTGGATGCCACGTGTCGCTCGTTGGCGTAGATGCGGGATCAGGTGTCAACAACTATTTTTCTTGATATTCACAAGCACCCTATTAACAAAATCTATATCAATATTATTAGATTCAAGAGTAGCAATCAACTTTAACATAGCATTCAACCACAATATCACATATTTAGTCATCCTAAGGGTGATTTAGACTATCAAAGATTCAATCTTTACTATAGAAAACATCATTGAGCAAAACAAAAAATTTTTGATAAATTGAACCTTGTATCAAGCCTTCAAGCTCTCAATATCATTCAACCGGAATAACAAGAAAAAAGTTGCAATGTTGATGGAAAAACAGAATAATAAAAATGCTCGCAATGTCTTTCAAGAGTAGTAATTGAGAGAAAAAGTTGTCATCTTGATGAAGAAACAAACTAATAAAAATTGAGTATTTAAGCAACTTAAGGAGCGAAAGAATAAGATAAAAATAAGAAAAATAGAAGAGAGAGAAAGTTTGTAGTGAATTATGGGGTTATTTCACTTTTGCATGTTTTTGTTTTTACTTTTTGCATTTTTATGGTATTCAATCAAGTTCATTGGAGCTCATTTTATAAATTTTTCAATCCCTCTTGTTGATTTTGATTGATATTTGTTTTTTTGTTATTTTTGCATTCCGTATGTTTATTGTCTATTTTTATCTTTTATTTTATAGGAAAATGCTAATCGGATAATTTCACTGGTAGCCATCGTTGAAGCATGCCCGAGACTCGCCTAATCGAGCCGCGGAACACACGATCTGATGGGCCCCGCCTCGCGTGCGTGAGGCACCTTTTCCTCTAACAGTGACAACATGTTACATCAACTATTGAATAAATCAATGTAAACATACACTTCGGACATCAGTTTTTTCATCAGTTTTGTAAATAAGTGATATCACAGTAAGCATGTTAACAACGGTTTGAACATAAATTATTGAAAACTGATGTGAACTCGAGTCCCCTGACATCGGTTTTCATAAAAGAACCGATGTTAAAAGTCATCTATTACATCGGTTATTCAAAGAATCGATGTCAAAATTTTGGATCAAATCAATTTCGCATATTCCCGAGGCCTATTTTGCCTTTATGTCATATGTTTTTGGGAAAACTGATGTGAACATGTTTCTTTTCACAATATTTTTATCAATAACCGATGTAAGCAAAAGATTTTACACATCGGTTAATGAAAACTTATATGAACTATAGTCCTCTGACATCAGTTTTAATATAAAACCGATGTTGAAAGTCTTCTGTTACATCGACAAAACACCAACTCGTGTTTGAGTTCGGATTGTGTTCCAATAATCGGTGTGAAAAAATTTGGATCAGATCGACTTCCCACATGTTCTAGGCTTACTTTTGCCCTTACGACATCGATTTTTGGGAAAATCAATGTGAACATGTTTCTTTTCACAAAATGATGTGAAATGATCAAACTTTTTACATCGTCTGATTCTACATCGTTTTCAAAAAGTGGTTTTATCTAATGTGAAAATATTTTTTTTTTTTTAAGTGATGAAAAAAATATTTTTTTTACTACATAATACCTGGATATACATTTTATTGAATGAAAAATCTTTTGGTTGAGCAAATAAGAATTAATATAATAATTCTAATATTATAATGTACTATAATATAAAGTGAAATAAAAAGAAATTAGTAATAATAAAAGCAATTTACATTTATAAATATGTAACAAACGCACATGGTTTTGAAAAGTTGAAAGAAAAAAAATAAATAAATAAATTTGAGTCACCAGACAGTTAATCGAAGCTAAACAATGTAAATACAGTATAGAGAGCGAGAGGAGCACCCAAAATTAAATTGAATTTCCTTGGGTTAAATTAAATAAAGGAGCGTCCGGGCGTGAGCGTGGACGGGCTCTGAAACCTTGCGCTACGGCTCCTCCTCCCCGGCGGCTTCCCACAAATGCACTGACACTCGTACCCAAATATGTTCCCAAAGCAAGAGAAAAGACCAGTGGAGCCATCACTATGCCTGCGCGTGTGCCTTCCAGACGACTTGTAGCTGCTCGTGGAGTAACCTCCACCAGTGGCTGCCCTGTCGTAGAGCGGCGGAAGGTCCATTCTCCAGCGCTCGAGTTTCGACCTCAGCCCCTCGACGCTCTCGTCCACGCTCCACCCGTCGAGCACCGAGCTCTGCTTGTCGTCGAGCGGGTACTTGCGCTCCGCCATCATCATAGCTGCCGCCACCTCAGACGGCGATGGCCCCACCTCCGAGTCGGACCAAACCGAGTTCCCCTTCTTGCCCCCCACGTAGTTGTTGTTGTATTTGGGCATGGCCAACGAGAGCTTCTCCTTGTTGGGGCTCGGTTTTTTAACCAGTGATTTCTCGTCGACTGTCTTGTCGGCGGCCATGCGGCGGAATCCAGAGGATTCCTTGCTGAGGATGGAGTCGCTGAGCACTGAGCCGGATTTGGTGTTTTTAGTGGGGACTTGTGGAGGGTTGGGGACGCTGATGACTGAGCTGGCTTTGCCGACTTTGGATTTGGAGAAAGGGTTGTAGCCGTCGGTGATGCTGAGGATTGAGGTGTCCTTGGCTTTGGGATTGAGGATTGAGGAGCCGTTGGTCGAGAGGTGGTCGAGGGCGCTTCGTTCGCTCTTCGACCGAAGCAAGATGGGCTTTACGTTGTTGTTGTTGTTGTTGTTGCTGGTGGTGGTGGCAATGTTGCTTTCTTGGAGGTTCTGGATGCTGATGGGGTCCTCCATCAGGTCTCGAAACCCTACTGCCGACATGCTGAGCTGTCGGTAGAGGGCCATGCTCTTCATGGAGGAACCGAGAAGCGCCACTCCGATGTTGAGGATGCCCTGTGGCCGCCCTGACGGCCGGCGTACCTAAATTTTGGTGAAAAAGTGAATTATTATTCTTTTTCTTTTTCTTTTTTAATTTTACATGACAAGAAATAAGCCCATTCTTAACTTTTAGGGTGGGAAACAGAGATTTAGAAGAGGATGAGAATTGAATTTTCGCCTTTTCTTAAAATTTAATCTTTTATCATAACTATTTGCAAACACAATGATAATTTTTGACATGATGTCCAATGCATGTGTATATTCTCAGGAATAATTTACATGATAATCAGTAATTAATTAANGAAACGCATCCCGGTGTAATTGTGGTTGTGCGAGCGGGTGGGCGGGGGAATGAGGTTCCCGACGAGCACGCGCACGGTGCCCACCAACACGTCCCTCAGCCAGTGGACGGCATAGATCTCGATCATCACCGCTGACGTGTCCTGCCTCAGGAACTCCTCGTCAACCTTAAACACAAATTTGTCATTCCACGTAGGATTATTCTTCCCTTCCGTGTCCACGCAGGACGAGAGCTTACGGCCCGGGTTCATCCAGGCCGTTGCGTATGTCCGCATCTTCTTAGACACGGGCTCCAGATCTTGGGCGGATATCACGTTTATCTCCAGGAGCTGGAAACCCTTCTTCGGCCCCATTTTTTTTTTTCTTTTTATTTTTTATTATTTTTTTATTTTTAGATATTATATGTTACGATGAGGAGGGTTAATGGTTGATGGGGGGAATTGAGGTCGGCGGTTGTGGTGTACCGCCGCCGCGGATCGGAGAAAGGGGTGGTTGGTTGATGTGGAGGAGAAGGAGAAGACGAAGAACAATAATTTAATTAATATTTGGCGTTTCTCTCTCTAGAGGGAGGACATGAAATTTAGCGGACATAAGGGGAAAATGGAGGAGTGAGAATTAATTATGAAAAAGTAACTATAATTAGTATGGAACAAAACAATTGTTTTGGCCTTCTTCTGATTTTTCTTGACTGCTGAGACTGGGGGATGGCCGATGGCGTTGCTGCAGATGTAAATTTATTTGGTAGTATCTTTTCTTTTATGTGGTAATACCACAATCTAGCCACGTGAGGCTAAAGAAATGAAATTTGGCGATTTTATGCAAAATTACAAAGTATAGACATTTTTACATGTATGAATACTATTTTACCATGACACCCAAATTGCCAAAAAATTTCTTAATTCTTCCCCCCATTTTCCCGTCTGTCCCATTTTTTCTCATCTCTAATTTGCTGTCCACTGATTTTATATTTGTAGTTACCGAAATAATCGATTCGGTATCGGTTCGATAACCGAATCGGTACTAGCCCTATTCATAACAATGCTCAATTATTAATATTTCAATTATTTATATTATATTAACTTATATGGCAGTTCGATAAATGACCCATCGATTTACCATTTTAACATCGTATGTACTTGATTCTCTAAATAATTGTTTACTTAATTTATGCATAAATAAAAGAACTAATGTTTCTATAATATACATTAGTCCTTGTTTAGTTATTTAGTATTATTGATTTTCATTAAACTCATTTTTAATATATTTTTATTGTGGAAGTAATATGTTTTTTTATTCTTTTTAATTAGGACATCATTATGTTATTTAGAAAAAAAAAAACGTTTGAAATTTATTTGTTCTATACTTTATTTTGTTCATGCAATAATATATTTAACAAATCAATTAATCTATTTTACTAAAATTGATGGGCAAAAAACATTGATCACCACATAAAAAAAGAGCGAATATGACAGAAAATGAGATTCGTTTATTAATGGCAGAGATGCGTGCCTTATTAATGCATAAGTAGATTTTGTGGATTAATAAATTAGATCCAACTGATGGCAATTGGAGTTCGGACAACATGTATCCTATCGCACCACTTAATTTCCCCAAACTCATGCGTGTTGGGCTCCATTGGTCCGTTTATCTTGAACGTGACCGTATAAGACCTCGTCTGATTTTGTTTTCAGAAAGTCAACATCCTTGGGGCCACGTCAATTTTGACTGACTTGCTCGGTGAGAAGATGTATACCATGTATGTGGACACCAACTTGATCGATGATGCATACTACAGTCTGTGGTTGTTAGAATATCACTTGTGAATTGTTCCACATTATTCATATATGGAAAATAGACCCACCTTATAAGACTAATGGACTACTCCTCCTTCCACCAATTGATTTTGGGATGGAACTCCATTTGGGCTTCATATGGGCTTTTCCCTTCTTTCATGGTGTCCTTCATGGTAGTGGGCCATGGTTTTCTCACAGTTTCTGTCAGTGGTGTTCGAATTCCATAGGCTTTTTGGATTTCAACATGTGGATTATGTTTCTGTCAATGGTTTCCCACATTTTCTGTCAGTGGTGTTCGAATTCCATAGGCTTTTTGGATTTCAACATGTGGATTATGTAATTCTTCTTGGCCGCCATTGACACATGGCAAATAGACAAAACCACTACAATTCCAACTATTAAAATTCCATTGTTCTTATGCATTTTTTTTTTCTTTTTGGTTTCGATTGAGAAGATTATCTTGTAAGGTCGTGAGGTGATGAACATAGCGCCGGGCTTATATAGGCGGGGGCTATGAGTTATGACATCATGCTTGATTCAACCAGAAATAATATTAGTTTAATTTGCTCATTATGATCTAGTGGCCATGTATCTTTTTATATATAATTAGTAGTTGGACCACAAATTGAAAATATCATAGCACCAATGATAATTAATATTTGCGCGTGACAATGGTGCTCAATTAGAGAAATGAGAATAAATCTCAGTCATCAGATCAAACAATTTAATGACTAAAAAAAGTTAAAATTATATCTTCATTAAGAGTATTTTTGACTTTTTATCATTAACTATTAACAACATTAGTGAATCCCACCATAAAACACTCAATCCAATCCGCCTACCCTAATCAGTCATTTATATTCTCTCTCCACTCTTCTCTCTCTCTCACACACACACACACATTGAAACACGCACACACACACACACACACATTGCTCGGCTCCGCCGTCACCGAGCTCCGACGGCGTATCAAATACCCAAATCTCGGTCTAATACGCAGTCAACGTCGGGAACACTCCGTCCGAGGCACGTCGACGTCACCACCACGCCGCCTCCGGCATCAGCGACTCCCTCTACCTCGTCGGCGGAGGTGTTCACGCCGTCTCTCTTCGCAACCGTCGAACGTCGCGCTTTCTCCTCGAGCCAATGGCGGTGGCGTCAATATGGTGGTTCGACGCCTCTAGAATCTCTCGTATCCACTTTCCTAACTTTTCACGTCTCTAGAATTTAAAAGTCCTTAGTAACACACTTTCCATATATGAAGTATTCTCTCCCCTCTTAGTGCACGACTCCTAGGTCTTGAAGTCACAAGCCCGACCACCTTACCTACCTCTCATAGGTCCTAACCAGGTCGTAACCACGACCTCGACCTCGACGACCTACAGGCCATTAGGTCTCTTTTGTATCCGAGTTTTCTAGGTCTCCCGACCTTCGAGTTACCTCAACTGTGTCAACCTGTAACCTGAGCTGCCTAAGCGAGCTTCCCGTCAGGTATATGTATCGAAGACGGGCTGGGCTCCCCTGAATGAGCCACGACTGAGTTATCCACTCTAGTTGGATTACCGAGCTATTTTGACTGATATAACCACTATTAGTTATTTAGCTTGCAAATATCATTCCCCTTTTCTGTTTTTGCCCTAATTCTGCTCTTCTCTCTCTCAATACCTCGAAAGGTTCAGAATTACTCAAAATGCTACACACAGAACCGTCATTTGCAATATACAGTACAGATGATAAGTTTGCGGAGGGAGCTGAGAATGAAGATTTAATTAGAGAGAAGATTGAGAGATCTGATGCGATTGGGAAAACCATTGACACTCAGTTCACCTTTGGGTCGAACTCGATGCGTATTATTGAAGAAGAAGATGATGATGATGAAGAAGAAGAAGAAAAGGAGAGGGTCTTCCAAGGTCTCGATAAATATGGGCCATGGGATTTCGACCATGATGGCGATCTGGATGGTTATTTTAGTAAATTGGTTGAGAAAGATCCTTCAAACCCTTTGGTCTTGAGAAACTATGCTCAGTATTTGGAGGTTTGTGCTTTTATTTATTTATTAGTATCATTAACGGGTTGTTTTTTATATCTGATTGTTTTAGATATGAAGCTTTTCTTGCTTGAAACCAAATTTTAGGTATAATTATTAACAGTATCATGATATTTTAGCTTTAGTACAAGAAGCTGCTGTTGTTTTTCAAACTTCTTCAAGTGTTCAAGATTTGCATTTACCTGATAATTACCTTTTCAGGTGCAATCTGAAAGAGAAATAAATATATGGGATATTTTGCAACTAAAGGGTTTTTTTTTTTTTTGGTTTTTTAATTACCATTGGCTTTTTTAACTCAGTTAACACGATAAATTTTGAACTAAGTCTCTAAAATTAATTTAGGGATTTTGAAGCCCATGGAGAGACGAACAAAATGATATATGGTTTATCGATCTCTGAAAATTGACACGTTACGAGGTAAGTGCAAGTAAAAAACTTCAGTTCAACTTTTTTGATAAACAAGATATCTGATTTTTGATTGGGAGGTGTTATTTGAAAGTTTCCAAAATGAGTTTTCTAACAAGGTAAATCTTATGAAAATGGTTAGTAGCCTAGAAAAAGCTATTACGATTTACTTCATTAGAAAACTCGCTCTGCAAGCGTAGCTTTCAAATGGCACCTTCCTATCGAAAATTAGATATCTTGATTATAAAAAAAAAAGTTAAACGTAAGTTTTTTCTATACACACGTGTGCCTACCTTCTTCGTCGATCGATTACCACATTTCAATTTTCAGAAATGGATAAATCAAACCTCATTTTGTTGTGTCTCGTCATGGGTCAAAGCCCTAAATCAATTATAAAGATCGAATCAAAATTTATATTAATTGAGTTAAAAACTTTTTAGTGTCATGCTAGGGTTTTAGTTGAGAGGCAAATTGTCATTTCGTGTACTTTGGGAGGTAATCCAGGAAAAAGTTAGTAAGACAAAAGTCTAAAAACGGGCATACTTTGAGAGGTAAAAATAAATTCCCATTATTTTATAATAGTTGGGAGAATTTGTAATCTACCTGGAATTGTATGCTTATGAACCCGAATCCAAGAATTAAAATTCCATGCGCTCTTTGATTTTTTTGTTTCTCCATACGAAATGTCATGGACAGTCAAGGAGGGATTTTTCCGGTGCCGAGGAATACTATTATCGTGCCATGTTGGCGGACCCTAAAGATGGTGAGGTACTGTCACAGTATGCCAAGTTGGTGTGGGAAATCCATGGCGATCAAGCTAAGGCCTCACATTATTTCAAAAGGGCGGTTCAAGCTGCACCAGAGAATAGGTACAGTTAATTGTCATATAACGGTAAACAGAATAACCACATATTCGTGTCGATTTAATCCTTTCATTTTGTGGTAACGAAGACCCAAAGATTATATGAACTTCGATTTGCTTTTGAGTTCTTGAATGAATAAAGAGTTCACCAAATGTTTAGTTTTCTTTTTGTTCTTTTTTTCTCCTTGACTCCTGAAGCCATTTTTCAAACACTAATTCACGCACGAGTATTTTATTGTGGCTGGACCCACCCAATGGCAAGGCAACTGAGGGAACTATGGCTACACGGCCATTGTTAAGGGGAAAAAGTGGGTGACATGATGTTGATAGTGCCTTGATATCTTCTTGGAACAATTTTAAATCATCAGCGTCTAACTTTAAGTGTTCTATTGTTATCAGCAATGTTCTAGCTGCATATGCAAGTTTCATGTGGAATATAGATGATGAAAGTGACGAAGAAGAAAGGTGGCCTAATAATCAGGTAGTTATCGCTCTGTAAATAGCTTAGGTTAAAGGATAATTTTGAAAAAAGTACCCTACAGGTGTGTGGTCTAAAACCAAATTCGTTAATTTCAGAAGTACAAAAACTTCCCTTAAGGTTTGGTGTTAAGGTTAAAGGGGTTAATTGTAGTGCTTTTTTAAAATGAAATATTTCAATTTTTTTTCAGTGTTCTTTTTTTTCTTTGTCTGCATAATAAAAGGTTATGCGAGACAAAATAAGATTGTCAGTATTTTAATTTTTACTTATTTTTTTCTATAAAAAAAAAATGACAGGTTGATGATGAGTATTCTGCCGTAGTAGATCCCTCAACCACAGGTTTTAAAGAAGTGAAAAGGCCGTCTAGCCCGCCTTTACATCTTGCAATGGGGCTGGGACTTGATAGTCAGAATATTGACTGCATAGACACATGTTCGGACGAGAGTAGTAATGTTGAAGAATATTACAAGAGGATGACAGAGGAAAATCCCCATAATCTGTCGAGTCTCAGAAGCTATGCTCTTTTCTTGCATCAGGTATTTCTGATTTCTGTTCCACTTTCCAGTACTAACAACAAATTTTGAGAAGTTACTGATTTTCGTTTCACATATGAAATTATTCCCGGTGAACTATCTAACAGATTATACAAATGAGTCAAAAAAATTCAGTAAGTAAAATAATAGACAAACATAATTCAATTTAAGGAATTGCTGAAAATCCAAAATTGGGATTCGAAAATGTTCCCATTTGCTATATTGATATTTTGGCTCAAGTGCGAATCATTTTGGACAATATTCATCGACAGTCGAGGGGTGACCTTAGTGGGGCCGAAGAATATTGTTCGCGTGCCATACTAGAGGATCCAAACGATGGGCAGATGCTTTGTTTATATGCAAACATTTTGTGGCAGCTGCATGGAGACAAAGACAGAGCACTGGCACATTTTGAACGGGCAGTTTTAGCAAGCCCAGAAGATAGGTAAAAGCACTAAAATGTTTTATTATGTTATGACCTTGTTATCATCAATTTCCAAAGTTTTTTTAATCTTGGTGTTTTATTGTTTCAACTTTTTAATTTTTTCTAATCTTGGTGCTTTATGGTTTCAGCAATGTTCTGGCGGCATACGCTAAATTTTTGTGGGAGACGGACGCAGAAGAAATTGAAACTGACATCAGAATGTGATATCGACAACTTTTTATTCTATTTGAAGTAGAAAATAATAACAGATGTGGAAAGTCGTGGCATCTCAGCTTCTTTTAAGTTAGGAAGATTTGCAGCCAATTTTCCCATCCGATTCTCACCGATTTTCAAGAATTGGGCAATGTGTGATCAATAATTTGAGAATGTTGAAACTTTTATTTTAAAATTTTGCTGTATTCAGATAGTCTGCATTTATCTGCCTGTGCTGCATGTCTCTATTTCTCCCTCCAACTACACAAATGTATCATATCATCTATACAAATGGATTTTCACAAGTTGCCNAGCACTAATCCCAATCAATCATCTGATTTGTAAAATAACCAAAAAAGAAAGAGAGAAAAATGCAGCAGCCAACTCATGAGTTCTAACACATCACATCCTTTCCCGATTTTAACAAGTACGTTCATTCCTCGTAACCTTGTTGAATGTCGCTAGCATTGTAAGCCCTCTCTTGTCTATGGGCCTGCCTATAGTACCCATTCCCTCTTGACCGGTTATAGTAATAATCACGTTCGTACGAATCGTGATTGGGCCCCCTTCCAAAACCACGGCCCACAAAACGACCTCCCGTGTGGTACCCAAACCTTCCTTTAACACCACCTTTGCCTCCTTCAAAGAGCCCAAATCAAGAGTTTAGTGACATTGATTTACAGTAGTTGAGAACTAAAGTTGCAAATAAACAAATTTTATTGATTGTGAAAAACAAACCATGAGCAGAAATCAGAACCAATTGGTTAGTTGGTAGTGTTCATGAAGGCAAGGCGAAAATTGCTCGAGTTTAGAGAAATGCTTTGTGGATAAGCAGAAAAATGTTGTGTCTGTGTAAATAAGTCAAACTGAAAAAAAGTTGGAACAGATGAAATCATTTTCTTCTAAAAAATGTAAATGCTTTTGATATTGGATTGACTGGCTCGAACAGTGCAACCATGAATCGAGATGGTTACGATGCAACAAAATTTAATACCAAATTTGAAAACCACAGGTGAATCCTAGCATTAAACATAATTTAAAAAAAAAAAAACATACTTCCTCCACGAAGAGTGGTGTGTCTGTTGGGCCTCCGCTCTTCAATGTAGAGCTGATGTGCACCAATCTGAACGGTGGATGCCTACAAGCAAAAGGAAAATGTAATATTAGTGGCTTCGGTAAATCTAACTTCAGGTATGAGATAAAAAAATCAAAATTTCAGTCAAGTCAGAACAACATTAAAGAAAAGAAAAATATAACTATAACTCTTAAAGTAAGAATGAAAGGTATATATGCGCATTGCAAATATGTCGGGAATGAAATAATTCTTAAACTTAATTCCAGTAGATGATAGAAGTAAAACCATGCGTCGAAATAAGTGCTGCAACTTGTCAAAGAAATGGCAAAAGGAAGCAGCTTAGTTTGTTAAAGGGGAAAGATTCATTTAAAGGCCTATATTTTCAAGAAACATAATAAATACACTGCAGAGTACAGAAAGAGCTACATAAACATTATTTCTTCTCTCGTTACTTTTCCTTTATTTTTTCATTACTTTTTATTGGAATTGCCCAGACTAAAATATACACATGCTCAAACCTTAATCGCATTTTGCACCCCCACGATGTCTTCAAATTCGACGAATGCGTAGCATATATCTATATCCTGCATATTAGATGGCATTAAGGCTTCAGTAATTATCTTCACTAGACAATAAAAATTAATAAACAAAAAAGAAAGGAAAACGCACCTTCCGAGTTCTAATGGCTACACCATCTTGCTTGAGCTTACCAAACTTCTTGAACACCTCTGCAATCTCAGAAGCAGACATCTTCGTTGGGACATTTCTCACATATACCGACTTCACCTCAACTAAGTAAAGAAAATCAGCAACAGCTTCAACCCCCGAAAATCACACACACACACACACATGTATATATGAAGTAATGGAAGCGCGAAAAGAAAATAGGAGTAAGTTACCTTCACCCTCATCCTCAACAACAAAAGGTTCTTCTGGAGTCTCCACTTGTGAATTCTCAACCTGGCTTGGCGGTATAACAGGCGGTTGGCTAGGGTTTTCATGCACGTGAGGGCTCTCCACATTAGCAATCTTGTTATGCGCATTTTGACCTTTAGCAACCTGTAACTTTCCAATCACAAAGCAAAGGTAATAATTATAATTGATGAGTAACAAATTCATCTTTTCTGAAAATGCATAAACTCTGAAGACTTGTTTGTGATCACGTACTATGGACGCATATGTATGCTTTTGAGTCTCGACAATGGGTTCCTCTACTGGGGACGACAGAGGTTCAGGATTCTGGTTGAGGGTTCCCTGAAGAGAGCCGTTTGAACGGACAGCAAAATCATCATCCGTAATGATTTCCTTTTCAGGCACCTGCTTGAGATGTTCTTCAGGATAGTCATAATTATTGACGGGAACATTCTCTTGAACTTTAGAAGGGGATATAAACTCTTGAGATTGAATATCTCCTCCTCGCATGTAGCTGTTAGCTGCAAAAAGTATCAGGAAATTTAGAGAGGATACCAGAATGTCTTCGTCTTACTTTCATGTGAAAATTGTGATTTGTACTTGCATTTATGAGGAAGAAGAAAAATATTCAAGCATTAATATTAGAAATTACAGATTTTTTTGTTAAGATGTCCATATTAATATGATCTTCTCCAGAACTGATATTTTTTCTTTCTAGAGCCAATCTGTTACTTAAAGTCATACGTGATCCACTCATTTAAGGGAAAATCTATAAAAATATCAATTGCCAATATAAACAGGATAACATCTAACTTTTCATAAATATTAGCAATAACTACATGAACAAAAATCTTGGAATAGTAACTAGACAATGAAAACAATATTTTTATAAACAGGAAAAAATATTGATCTTGGCTGAAGAAAACAATATTTTTTACAAAAATCTTGGAATAGTAACTAGACAATGAAAACAAAACTAAAAAGGAAAGAAAAGAACCTTGTTCTCGAGTTATAGCTGAAGAATTGATCTTGGCATCAATATTGCTCTGAGGTAAATAAACAATCTGGTGCGGCAGAATTTGGTCTTCGTCAACATAAAGGAAAACATCATTCAGAACAAAGTACCCCTTTTCTTGAGGAGCAAGGAAAAAAGTTTCAGAGAATTTTTTCCTCCCGTTGAAATTCTTTGCACACACAGAACCCAAAACCATCACCAGGACTCCACCACTCCAGGATTCTAAAGAATGTGCAGTCTTAATTTCTATCCCCGTATAATTAAGCGCCGTTACAAGTTGGTGAATATGCTGACAAGGATAACAACAAAGTGAAAGGAAGAAATAAAGACGGATTCCACCAATAGATTAATACGCATAAAGTGCTAGAAAGAAAAAAGTACATCATGCAATCTATTCCAGTTGAGCTGTAAGACAAAAACACCATAAGCATTTATTGGGATCTTATACATCAACTTCCAAAACTAATGCAAGATTTACAATCATTTGAAAGTGGGTTACTCCTAACAAGAGTATATATTTGGAACATTTGGAACAATTAGTGAACCACACTTATGATCCATGAATATAGAAACAGAACAACGGCACAAGTTACCTAACACACTTCGACATAATATAAGGTTTCAATTAGATCAAGAACTATTGCTTCAACAATTAAGTGTACCGTCTATTATGATATTATACAAGAGAAAATTTCATTGTACGTCCATTATTACTAAGTTTAAAGTTCAAATTATTATTGATTCATGCACGTAAAGATATTGTTTAAACATAGATTATCATTACCAGCATTGAAGTTGCAGTTTCTCTCACATTCCCATCTACTCGAAGCATGGTGCTTGCATCACTGTAAAACTGATGCACAAACTCTGGTTGGTTTTGTAGCATCTGATAGTACTGCCCCACAAAGTATGTCCCCACCTAGACAGATGTCAACAAAAAATTAATCAAGGTGAATCATAAAGAAATAAATAATTTACGATAGTAACAAATCACATTAACGAAATCTTAGTGGGAAAAATGGCAAAAAATAGGATAAAAAGAAAGAAATAAAGAAATAACTTTATGGCACCCTGTGCAAAATAAAAACAATCGAGATAGATAGATTCCAGAACAGGTTAATTCATGAAAACATAAAAGAGAGAGAAAAATCTTTAGTTCAAGAAAATTAACTACAGAATCAGGTGGAAGGCTTATAAGATTTCATCATATGCAACGAAGCTAAAATCATCTACCTAAGAGTGCTTCAGTTACTACTTTTCAGTTTTTAAAGAGGGCCAAACCTACATTAACATCAGCCAAACCACGGCATGTATAAATTACAGGCACAAAATGGAGACAAGAATTCACCACTGTTCACAGCAAAATTACACATTTCCGATCAGAATTTACCATATGTCGCAGAGGAGACAACTGCATGCATAGCATTTCACATCAAAGGAAAAAAATATATACATATTTAAGCATCCATACATCAACTTATACAAATATCCCTAAGTTAAGAAGTAAAATTGTCACATAAACCACATTTATTAACACAATCTTCTCACATTGTGCCCATAACGCACTTATAAGCCCACAATTGAATAAAAGCAAGAATGTTATTTGGATAGAGTATCATAAGATAAAAAGCGAAATTAAAAAATAATAATAACCTGGGCAGCAGTAACAGGGAGAGGAAACGCCATTGAGACAAATTCGCGGATTCAGATAAAAAAACCCTAGATCTATAAACCCTAATAATTAAGATCTATAAAGGAAACAAATTCTGAAAAAAAAAAATGAAACCCAGCCCAAAAACAGCTTTCCCAATTCACATTATCCCTTATAAAATTCAAGCATTCTCGTTCTGCAAATTATACTAAACTGGTGATTTTCACTTATAAATTTGAAGGATTTTTGGCAAGGGAGTTTGTGGAGTGTTTTGCTCCAATTTGGTACTATTAGGGATTGGCTGTGATGTGTGAATATATATATATATAGAGAGAGAGAGACAGCCTCCTTGCTCCAACATAAATAGTTAAATACTAGTGGTATGGTAAAACTAGTTAATAAAGTAGTTGATAAATGATAAGTTAGGTGATAGTTTATAAATAAATTTTGTTATTATAGTTTGTAGTTTATAGTTTATAGTTCAAAAGTTAGTTGATATGATAAAAGTGTTTGGTCCGCTGAAATAAAATTTGAACGGACTTATATGAAAAGATAATCAAATAAGCTATGAGATAAACTTGAGCTTTTTATAAAAGATCGTCCTACCAAACCAAACTTATTTGTAAATAAAAAAGTTTATAAGCTAACCAAATAAGCTATAAGGTAGCTTATAGTGCTTACTAAACACACTTGGTAAACTTAATTGATAAGTTATCTTACAGCTAATAAATGAATTTCTAGATTTTAGTTCATAACTTATTACTTATGGCTGAAAGAAGTTAGATGTTATGATAAAAATGTTTGGTGGATTAGTCAATAAATGAGCTGAAATAATAATTTTAACGAGTTTATTTGAAAAACTACTTAAGAAAGCTTATGAAATAAGCGCGAGTTTTTTTAAAAAAAGTTTGTCCTACAAAACCAAGTTTATTTGCATATAAGAATCTTATATGCTAATCAAGTAAGTTATAAGCTAACTTATGGTGCTTATAAAATACACTCTTATGCATTATTGGTATGATGGAATGATGTGGAATGGAATGTCATTCTCTTGCTCATTCTTAATCCCATGATTATATTTTTCATAAATGAATGATCCTCCATGAGATTAGCCATTCCGTGGCTAATGCATGGTTTCTTTCATTCCCATAACCTTAGGATTAAATTTTTCAAAAGTAAATTAACAAATAATAATAATAAATAAATATATAATACACATATAATGATTAAATTATATTAAACAAAAGCATTTTAAAAATAAATTTCAAATAAATAATTAAAAAAATAATTAGTTTCATTATTATTCATATTTTACTTGCATATATCAAATACTTATAAAAGTAAAACTCACAAAAAAATCATTTATAGAGAGTTTAGAAAGATATTATTTTATTTATTATATATTTATTCATTAGTTGATTGTATTATAAATAATTATATCCGATCACTTGTGTTTATAAGGGTTTATGTAATGATGTTGTATTAGTTAATATGTATGATGATATGGGATACTATACTTAAAGGAGTAAACCGGTCGAATAACCCAGTCGAGTAAACCAGTTGAGTTACTTGAGTAAACCGGTCGAACCATCCTGGTCGAGCGAAGTACGAAGGGGGTGGTCGGGGTCGAATATCACGGGAACAAGAGCCTCTGGTCGGGAGACAGCTTAAAGAGAACTCCAGTATAGGAAGAGTAAGTCGAGCCAGAGCCCTCGAATAGCCTGGTCGAACTCGATCTACAACAGCAGATAGTCGTCTGAACGGCCAAATCTCAAATGTGAAGCGGTCAGTGCTTCGCCCCAAATCGACCTAAAGTTGGTCGAGCATGTGAGCCTTCGAGGAGATTTCAAAGGAATCAAATCCCCATGTGAAGAGGACACGTGGCATGACCTGATTGGTCCATATCGCATAACCGTTTCTGACACACCTTCACTGTGTGTTGTATAATTGGGCACTCTGGGCAGTTTTGGGCAGCCAGCTCAGCTCATCCGCGCAGTCTTCTAGAAACAGGTACCTCACTCCTATATATAGGGGTGAGACTTACAATTTCAGCATGACATTTCTACTATACTCTTGAGAATTGAGTTGAGATATATACTTACTTAAGCGTCGGAGGCTCCTCACCGGAGAACCCTCCGGTGTGAGAGTTTTTGCAGGTACTCGGCGTTCTACCAGCGAAGGAGGCGAGGTCGAACCGATTTCCAGCCGGTCGTAGTGCTAGACGTTACCATGTGTAAATAAATAATTCACTTATTTATTATATAAGATAAGTGTGACAAGACAAAACGACAAAAGAATTTTTCATTATCTCAATTGAAGTAACGAGCCTCCCCAATTATATTTATTAAAATATATTATATTTTTTAAAATAAAATAAATTTAGTATTATCATATATACAAAAATAAACATTAATACAAATATTAAAATTGTTTTTTTATAAATAGTGATAAATGATTATGTCATTCCATTCAGGTCATTCCTTCTGCATACCAGACACATTAGAGGAAAAACTTGTTTCATTTATTCTCATAATCATTTCATTATTCAATTTATTTCATTCTTATTAAATAACATTCATCATACCAATCATGTCATTGATGTGGTCTGAGTGTCTTTTCATTTTCCTTTTTTTTTTTCCTCTTTATTTTTAGAGACTTTAAAAATTACTTTTAAAATATAACACATTTTGTACACGAATGAAATTTTGCATACGTATTCTATAAATTGTATTTCTTACAAAAGCATTCCCAATAATAATAATAATAATTTAACAAACTTTCCAACCTTTTTGTTTAATACTCGTGTATTAAAATAAATATACAACAAAAATAAGAAGGACAAGAGTTTATACTTTTAGTGTTAAATTGAAAAAAATAAAATCATAAAATAAATCATAACGAATTAAGAGAGTTTGTAATATAATTCTATAAAGTTAATTTTTTTACACCAAATGTTAATTGTCTAAATCAAATCTGTAAATATCATATCGTTGGTCATATCAATCTAGCCACGGGTACACGGTATTATCGGTTGAACCGGTAATATCAGTGGTGTTATCGACTAGCAAATATATTATATATATATATATATTAATATAAAAATAACAAAAAATTAAATGACCATATTCGCTAGATTTAAACTTCTCAATAAAGTAAAAATAAAGAATTTCAATTACCAATTTAAATTTTAATTCTTAAGTTAATAAATATTGTACTTTTAAAAAAAATATATATATTTAAGCTTCCTATGTGGAGTAGTTTAGTCTTCTTTTGTGAAGTATTTTGTCTCCCTAATTTAGTATTTTTTTGTAGGGGATATTCCCAAATTGGGGGGCACTAATGTTAGTGACTCCTCGTGGCTCGTTTCTTTCTTTCTATTGACAAATGCTTTATAACTTGTTGGTTACCTGTTGTACTTTTTGTTAATTTTAATATAATCGTATTTGTTCTTTGAAAAAACGTGAACTGGAAAGATAAGTAGGTACGTAGGGTCGTTTTGTCGACAAATATATGCATTTAGGAGGGTGTATTCGTTTGAATTTTAAGTAATTTTTTAAGATGCGAGACTTTTATATTTTTTTATCTAGCTGGAATCCTTATGAATCTCATGTTTGGAGGTGGGATCTCGTGTGGAATTTCGTACATATATCTTGTCTTTGAAATCTCGGAAAATCTTAAAATGTCAAGGCAAAAAAAGTACTAAATAAAAATATCTCACAACTTTTTAAGGCATTTTGAGATCTCATATGAATACTTCATGGATTTTAAACGAAATACATGACTTTTTAAAACTTTTTCAAACCTTAAATAATAATTAATGTCTTTTTAAGTATTTTTAAAATTTCAAACAAAAGAATTATTAAAATCTCAAAAAGTCTTTAGAATTCAAAAAAATTGTATGCACCCCTTTAGAGATTTTTTGAGATTTTCGAATTTCTTAAGTCTGGAAGTGGAATTTAGAGTGAGATTTTGTATATGTTTTTTTTCTTTAGAAATCAAAGCAAATATTAAAAAGTCTTAATAAATCATAGTTTCAAATAAGTTAAATATCTCAAGATTTTGTAAGAATTTTTAAAATTCCAAATGAATACCTCAAGACTTTTAAAGGTCTTGAAAAATCTAAATTAAATACACCACGATTTCTAAAATCTTAAAAACTCTTTAAAAGTCTTTAGAAATTTCAATTGAATAAACCCCTTAATGACTTTTTAAAATCTTTTTATAACTCAAATGAATACACAAGAGCCTTTAATAATTCGGAAGAATACACTAATCTTCATCTATATATATATAATAAGAATTAACATTTTTAAAAAATAGTAAGCAAAAAAATAGGGAATATTAATTGCATTCCATTTTTGGTATGTTTTTTTAAATTTTTTTAATAAAAAATCAAGTAGCATTAAATGCTAGCACAAATCATGGGATTTGTTATATAGATGCATATTTGAATTTCAAACTTCAAACAAAACATGCCTAAATATATTTTAAATTTTTTAGGGAAAAAATGTAACAAACACGTTAAAGATGTCATACAATACATATATTTATATATATTATCTTAACATATAGGTTAATTAGTTTCATATCTAAACAATATATATTTAAACAATATAGAAACAAATATAATAATTTATTGTACAATACAGACAAATATATAAACAATATATTTATATACAAATATAATAAACAATACAAACAAATATACAAACAATATATAAACAAATATAAGAACTTGTCACGTGTATATTTCGTACAATACATATATTTGTATATGTTATCTTAACATATAAGTTAATTAGTTTCATATCTAAATAATATATATTTTAGGAACTTAAAGATTCATAACATTACTGACGTCATGTATATTTATAATATATTGTCACGTACATTTTACTACAATTGGTAACTTTTTTAAAATTATTTGAATAACTAAAGGTTGATTTGTAATTTGAATTTCAAATTCATTCAAACATTTAAAGGAAAATATCATAAAAAGGTTTTTTTGATACATTTCATTTTATTTCAACTTACATATAATCACGTTCCTACATAACATTAAATTTGCTTATATCTTTTTAAATTAATTACATCACTAAATAATATTAATATACATTACATATTTATCATTATATAACAAATATATTACTTCTACAAGTGTTGTAAATAATAATGACATTATGTGATAATAGATTTTTTAATAGATTAATAATTGAGTATTATGATGAACCAAAATATGTAAAATTATTATTATTTTGTATTAAAAAATAAATATATATGTTAAAATATTATTTATAATAA